GCAAGGTAAACGTGTACTTACCACCAGTCACGAGTCGCCCTCGTCGGAAGAATCGGCCTCCGCGTCGAGCTCGAGCGGGCCTCAGCCAGAAGCAACTTGTTTTGCAAATCGTGATGGTTTTCCAGCCAATCTTCTCGGCCCCCTTTTGTGACCAATATTGGCTACTTGCACGGACTCGTTTAATGAAGAAATAAAATAAAATAAACTTAAAATTAATGGAGACAATCGTAAGAGTCGAGGGAACGAAAGATGTACAGCCTTCTCTCATGCCTTGAGAGCAACAACTGGCTTAACCGAGACCCCCCTCTTTAAGATCAACGGTCACCTTTTAACTGTGATTCAATTAAATTACTTACTGGCGTAAACACCAAGCTTTTATGGGTTCATTTGAGTTAGGGCTGTTTAGGTGGTGAAAAATTTTTTTTGGGGGGGAAAATCACTCAATATTCTAAAATAAGAATGTGATATAGTTTTCGAACTGAGTGTAAGAACAACGAGAATACGCGGACTATGATAATTATGCTACCTTCTCCAATCCAGAAATAATGTCCTCAGCGCAAATCATTATCAAATAGAATTAAATAGACACTTTCATCTACAGATAAGTTTAATAATGGACTAAGATTTACAAAGGGACATGGAATTAGCGGAATGGAAAAGAGTCCGTGAAAGAGTCTGGAGTACGTAGTGTCCTGCAAGTAGAAGTAGAAACAGTTTTTTTGGAGGATGGTCTTTCATGCTCTGTGACGGCATTTCTCAAGTGGCTATATAACGAGATCATGTAGTGGCTTTTTATGCCTTTCGTACGTTCAATCATTGCTTATCCATCGCAGTGCTTACTTCAGGCAACATGTGTTTCTGAGTACTTGAACACCTCAGGTATCCAAACCGTTAGCCCAATCGAACAATCAAATCGGTCAGTTCATTTGAAGATTCGATTTTTATCCACTGTAATCACTGACACTGATTCTGTTCTATCTTTTAATCTGGAGTGTGACGATTTGCATCTTCAGTGATATATTTTTTTACTTTAAGTACATACCAAAGAGACGATTTTGTATTCTGATTGGTTTTTTTCCCAGTTTTTTTCCTTTTTATTATTTAAAAACATATCTTTTTTGTTGGGAGGGGATTTGTTATCTGTTTAGAATGGTACAATACAAATATGAATTTCCCAAAAAGATGATACCCGGTTATTCTGGCGATCCATATGGGAACGGACTTCATAAGCGACTACAGAATCGCCGAGCTCACTGTAGTTAATAAAAATTTAAATATTTATTTCCTATTGCTCGTATACTAAGAATTTGCACGCATCTTTGCCTGATCGGTTGGACTTACAGAACCGAAATTTCTCTTAATCCCGCAATCATTAATCCCTCTCCGTCCTATTCCTGAGGATACCAGGACATTGGGGCATTCGTGGTAATGATCTTGCTGAGAGGGCAGTTAAATTAACCGTTAACTTAACCAAACTAATCTGAGGGAAATATAGACAGAAAGTAAACAAGGTTTTTGGAACATCTCAAAAACAGTCGTGGCTTAACAGTAACTTAACAAACGTGGATTCCTCATAGCAAAAGAATCTCTTCGGATTAGCCAAAGCTGTCAAGAATTAACAACAAGCACATCCTAACATTTTGGATTTGAATCTTAGAAAAACTTCCTGCTTAAACATATTATCCCTTTCTTCTTCATTCCTGTAACCTTATCCCTGACCACCAGTCCGAGATCAGTCGTTCTCATTCCACTGTTCAGCAGTGCCATCGCGTTATAGACACTCCGATGTATTCTTTGATGTGAAACAAGCCCTCCATCGGGTATGGCATTCGGGGCTGCCCTGGACATTTCAGAGAGCCCTCCTTTTTATCTATTGTACTACCTGATCCTAAAATCCTACCTATCCGACAAATACTTTCAAGTCGCACAGATTCAGGGGTTGCACAAGCAAGTGTAACCATCCTCTACCCAGTATACACCGCACATATTCCCTTCCAGAACGATACTCACCTCCTATGCGGATGACATCACGATCCTTTGTTTTCATGAAGATCCTGACATCTCAACCAGAAACCCGTAAACCCATGTCACATCCATTAAGCATTGGTTCAAGAGGGGGAACATGACAACAAACATATAAAAATGTGAACATGTCACTTTCACACTTCGGAGAATAACTGCTCCATCCACTACAATACTCCTCCTACCAGCTAATGTAGTCCACTACCTTGGGCTATACATTGACGAACGACTTACATGGAACCCACAGCACGACTCAAACGACAAGAAGTAAATACACGCTTCAGACTTACTAAAAGATTGCTGGCCAAACGACTTTACGACTCATTCATATTACTATTTTGAGAACCATATGGACAAAAAACGAATAGTCAGAGTTAAGCATTTGTGAGCACTCTGTACGACAAAAAGTCCTTTAAATTAAGCATGTGCTTCGCGTTATGGAAAACATATCCTCACCCTTTGATAGTAAACAATGCTGTTTACACTTGACATGTCACAGGTATTTGACTTTGGCATGAAAGTCTCTTATATAAACTAAAAATGCTTCTGCTCCGAATACTGCCTTCTGGTGGCGGGAGTGTGGCGTGACAGTGTGCTCGGTTCAATCTTGTAAATCATATACCGCAGATATCGCGACTACACCTTTCACCCTCCTTACAACCTCAACGACGCATGTGCCATTCTCCGATCCCAATCCCCCAATTACTTCGGAGAAGGTATAGGTACAAACGTTGCAAATAGCTTAATAGAGAAAACTCGGGCGTATTAAGGTAAATGAAAGAAAATGTCTCTGAAACAAAACCCTGAAACTGATTACGTTACCTTGAGATTTACCTTAGCTAACGTCCCTGAAACAAACAAACAAGAAGAAAAAGACAGGATTTCAACATACGCTTCGGGCTACTAACAAATATCAAGAAAATCACACTCATCGACAAAAAAACAGCATCTACAAGACACTACTGAACATACTAGGGGCACCGCTAAACCTTCCAGATCAAAATCTTCAGAACCATGCACAACCCTCCCTACTACCTCTCTAACACCACCATTCATAATGACCTCCAAATACACTCCGTTAAATCCGAGGCCCAGGACCTTCTAATCAACAGAATTGAACTATTCGGAATTGAGCAGACTGGCGTGGAAGTCTTGAACAACTACGAAGACTAGTATGCCCAAGCAGATTCTTCCCAAAGATGTTGTGAAAGGCAATGTCTGTGATGTGTCATCTTTTACCATGTCGAAATACCCAAAACACCCCCCGCAGAGAGAGAGAGAGAGAGAGAGAGAGAGAGAGAGAGAGAGAGAGAGAGAGAGAAGTCCGAGGAAAGAGAGAGAGAGAGAGAGAGAGAGAGCGAGAGAAAAGAGAGAGAGAGAGAGTGAGAGAAAGAGAGAGTGAGAGAAAGAACAAGCCAACACACACACACACACACAAACAAACAGTGTGAGAGAGAGAAGCAGATACTGAGTAGGGATACTGAGTCTGTCGGGTAGAAAAGTGCATTTTTACCCCTACTGTCATACATCAGCAGGAACCACTGGCTTCCACTGAAGACAGATACTAATGACTGTACGTATACAGAAGACTGACTTGGAATCCCCACTCAAGACATAAGAGACAACAACTTAACACAAGAATGAGACAACTACGAATACTTTTAGAGCCAAAATATGTTTGGACCATCAAAACTCAAGGCTACAGTACAATGGACATACTAGTGGAACTGAGGAGTTCCGCCAAGCCAGCCAGTATCCAACGCATCTAATCATTACAGCCAAAAGTCCTCAGACAAATTGTCAAAGCTCATTACTGCGTCGCTAACCTTAAACAATGATGGACTCGATACTTCCTCGCTAATACATTCCTCCGGTGCATTGGCCGGTTTCTCGTAACAAGCGAACAAATGGGATTTGGAGGTCTGTTTGGATAGTAAGGTTGGAATTAGGCAGCTTGGGCAATATAGTTGGCGTGACTGGATTCTTCCAATTGTCCATGACCTCAACATTTCTTTTGTCAACTGGTTCGATCCTACTTCCAAAAATGCCACAAGTTCTCAATCCACTCTAATCCAACTATCCAAGCCCTATCTACCTTTTCCTACACCGAGAACCCTCCACGTCACCTACGATGACCTCAAGACCTCCTCATCCATCAAGTTGAGTACCAGGCATCCTCCTTGAGTATGCTGGACATCATAAAATATTTTACAAGCCAACCCTGTAATATTAGTTGTCTGAATATTGAAAGATAAATCCGATCGTTATGTCAAATCGATTGAAATATTCTAAATCTTAATTTTAGGATTGAAATTCCTGGTTCATTAAAACTGTCATATTATATTACTTTTTTAGAAAATTTTCCTTGTCCACCAAACTCTGCTTGATTTAATCTATGAATTTTTTCATAAGACGTCAAATTAAAGAAATATTCACCACGCTATCGGTTCGCGGTTCAAAACCCGTCAGAGCTCATGGTTTTTTTAAATTGATAATTGTATGGAATATGTATTGTAATATTGTTTGACCCTTCGTCCTCAACGCATAACCAGTAGCTGGACGTTAAGTTCCTGCATGACAGTAATTACTTTACTTATTTAAAGAAAGATTTTATATGTTTCAAGATTAGCATGGATGTATAGAATAAAATGAGAATAAAGGTTTGAGAAGGAATAACCAATGAACAATCATACAGCAAACAATTAAAAATTCATCACTTTGAAATTTCGATCAAACCTAAACAAACAGACCAGTTGTTTTCGCTTCAGTTATGACACATATCTCCTCGAAATTCATTTAAATTTGTCCGAAAATTTTTAAACTGAATATGTACTTTTGTTGAAAAGAATCGAGAGCTGAGGACAAGAAATGAACCAGTACGTGTGTATTTTTTTAAAATTTCGTTTCGAATCAGTTGAAAAGTGAACACACCATTTGAATAAATTATAATGTATTTGCTATAGATGCAATTCTGTTAGGAGGGGACTGCCAAGGTGTTGGAAGTGGGGTGTCGGAAGAGGATGCACCTCCCGGTAGGCAGTCCTCTTCAGCGCGTCTACCTTTTAAAAACATCATAACACCTCCTTTTTTATGTTTCAGATCTGTGGATGATAAAGTGTCGTACATCGATTACGAGATGACGCTGAGGGATTCGAAAATGACAGAAGAGGTGGTTGACGAAGAGGTGGGAAAAGGCGAGCTGGAAGTATCGGAAGACCTTCCGGAAAGGGGCTCGTGGACTAACAAACTAGATTTCATCCTCTCAGTTGTCGGACTCGCCATCGGCCTGGGCAACGTCTGGAGGTTTCCTTACCTTTGTTACAAAAATGGAGGCGGGGCCTTCCTCATACCTTATTTCCTTACTCTCCTCATGGCCGGCATACCCATGTTTTTTCTCGAACTCGCCCTCGGCCAAATGCTGACTATCGGCGGTCTCGGCGTCTTCAAAATTGCGCCCATTTTCAAAGGTGATTTTCAAATATTTCCTTTTTTTAAACTGATTTACATGGGTTGTTTTGTTGATCAGGCATCGGGTATGCCGCTGCGGTTATGTCATGCTGGATGAACGTGTACTACATCGTCATCCTCGCCTGGGCAATATTCTACTTTTTCATGTCCATGCGCTACGGTAATAAAAATTTCAACAAAATCTATAGAGATGATATCACAATAATAAAAAATGTTGTTCTTAAGATGTGCCTTGGAGGACGTGTAACAACTACTGGAACACGAAATTCTGCGTGAACACTTACGAAAGGAACCAGCTTGACTGTTGGCCGGCTGTAATGAAGGGAGATTTCTCGACCTTCTGCAACATCAACAACCAAAGCGTCGCCGTGAAAGATTTGACGGACCCTGTCAAAGAATTCTGGGAGTAAGTGACATATTCACCTTGTTTAACTCTAACCCAATTTTTAATTCTGGATTATTTTCATGACAATGGATCACTGAATGTAACACTTCGTTTTTCTCTTTTTCTCAATTTTCCCATTAAATTTTGTCTCCTTATTATTTTAATATTTATATTCATAATAATAGATTGCTTTATACAATGCATCACTATCTGATCACAGCCAGTCAAAATAATTAGATTTTTAAAATCCTAGACACGAGAAGATATCGCCAAATAAATAATCTGTCAAGAAATATCATTGTGTATTATTCATATTTACAGTATTGCTAGTGTAATTTTTATGATAGAAAATAATCATGTTAGATTTACATGTCGAGCATGTTTGTGTTTTACTTATTTAGAAATCGTGAAATGCGGTCTGGTGTGATGTAGGTTTCAGAAAAACATTTTCTTTATCGTGCCAACGTTTCGATCTTTATTGAGATCATCNGATCGAAACGTTGGCACGATAAAGAAAATGTTTTTCTGAAACCTACATCACACCAGACCGCATCTCACGATTTCTAAATAAATATCGATTAACGGCCACTAATCACCACACATTTGTGTTTTACTTTCAAAAATTGTATATTTATTTTTATCATCTTAGTCCTACTATATTACTCCAGTTTTATGGACCGCAAATTAAAAATAATTAACATTTAATGACAAATAAAACAACCTGACAGGAGATTTCTTTTCTTCTTTTTTTCTTACAGGCGACGAGTATTGCAGATTTCGGCCGGTGTTCAGCACATTGGCAGCATCAGGTGGGAATTGGCTGGCACTCTTCTCCTCGTCTGGGTCCTGTGTTACTTCTGTATCTGGAAAGGAGTCAAATGGACCGGAAAGGTATTGTCAGGGGTGTTCTTTTTTTGTCACAGGATGCCGATAAAAATTCGTCGATATGGCTTTCTCCCAGAACAATAACTGATCAAACGAGATGACACTACCAAGTCGTGGACATTACATTCAACCTATCACCGGTTGATTTATTCAAAAATTTTGGACCATTTAAGGAAGGAAAGCCAATTTAGTTTTCAAAACTTCCAGAAATTGATTTCTTTTTATAAGCACAATTTGGTGTCAAATAATACCAAAAATATTCAAAAGTCGACACTGGCGCTAAGGAAAAGAAATTGTTTTATGTCTGTCCTTTATTCAAATTTTATAAATTTATAATTTGTAGAAATTGTGCTAAACATTTGCAGGATTATCAATTATCATAAACTACAAACACTTTAAAAGTCAAATCTTTAGACAAATCATCTTGTCATCTAATTTTTTCGAATGAAAAACCATCCATAAACCACCCAAAAATTAATTTTGATTTTTTCTTAAAATTGGTTCCGAAGAGGAGGGGAATTATAAAGCACTACGACGTGTTCCAACTTCCCGCCATCCTCAGTGCCACGTTTCAGTGACAATAATTTAGCCAGGATAGCTGTATTAAATAATGAGTTTCCATTTTGATCCCAACGGGTTATAAACCAGATATTTGATGATTTCCGATGATCCCAGTCTGCCTACATTTGCTGATTTAGTCAATACAATTTTTTTAACTTCTCTTCATCCTCAGTGGTAGGTTTCTGTAATAATAACATAACCTCCTTTCTAGGAGTGATTAACTATGAAATTCCCTTTTGAGGTCAACAGGGTTATCGTGGTCTGTCTATGTTTGCAGATTCGGTCCATCCGATTTGTTTCAACTTCCCGCCATTCTGAGTGGTAGGTTTCTGTAATAATAATTTAACCTCCTCTCTAGCAGTAATAAATTAAAGTAAAATTAAATAAAGTAATAAACTATGTAAAGTAAGTAGAGTAATAAACTACGAAATTCCCTTTTGTGGTCAGCAGAGTTATCCTCGTCTGTCTATGTTGGCTTATTCGACTTGTTTCTACTCCCCGCCATTCTCAATGGTAGATCTCAGCGATAATGACCTAGCTTGGCTAGCTGCATTAAATTGTATGCTTCCATTTTGGTTCCACCGAGTCCATAAACCGTTTACTTGACCGTTCCCGATTAATCCTGTCTGCCTATATTTACTGATTTGGTCAATCCAATTTTTCTAACTTCCCGCCATCTTCAGTGGTAGGTTTCGGTACTAATAACTTAACCTCCTCTCTAGCAGTAATAAACTACGAAATTCCCTTTTGAGGTCAACAGGGTTATCGTGGTCTGTCTATGTTTGCAGATTCGGTCCATCCGATTTGTTTCAACTTCCCGCCATTCTCAATAGGGTCTCAACGATAATGACTTAGCCTGGCTAGCTGTATTAAATTGTATGCTTCCAGTTTGAATCCACCGAGTTTACTTGGTCGTTTCCGATTAACCCGGTCTGCGTATATATATTGATTCGGTCAATATAATTTTTTCCACTTCCCGCCATCCTCTGTGGTAGATCTCAGTGATACTAGCGTAACCAGGCTAGCTGTATTAAATTGTGAGATTCCATTTTGACTCCGACACCTTTCTCTCTTTCTCTCGAATTTTAAATTTGAGGAAAATTTGACTTTCAAAATCTCAAACACATATCCGTCTTTATTTTTTCTATTTTTTCTTGGTTTTGTATTTTTAAAATTTCATCGAATAAAGCAAAGACTCTGTATTTCACCCAGTCAACGTGCATTCTTCAAAAATTCAATTGATTGTGATTAAATCCGTATTAAAAAAAAAATAAAATAAAATAAAAATCCACTCGCTCAAGGTAATTTCGATAGTTACGCTTTTTTCGTCAGAGATTAACCGGTTGAACCCTGATTTCTTCTGTTTGATATTTAAAAGAAAAGATTAGGCAAAAATTGACCAAATCTGATTTTTTTATTATATTTTTTAAAATATTTGCTGAGAGTTGAGGTAATCCTAATCATAGGCGTGAAGGAAGTGATTGTTATTACTCAGTTAACCTAATTTAGATTGACGCAGAGGCGAAGAGGCGTCCAGGGCGTTTAAATTTTCTTTGTATGCCCTTTGTCTGTTTTTTCCAGCATGACAGCATTGCTTGCGTCCTTGCTTAATTGAGGCAAGGCCTCTCGGCAAATTGCCCGTTGCCCTATTTTATTCCTTATTCTCGTTCCGCCATTGGAACTGGGATGTGAATATTTTAAACGTGTTTTGGTAACCCTTGATGTTTTCTTGAGGAATTTTGGTTTTTTTAATTGTGAAAGTCTCTTTGACCTTTGACGTGATATCAGTTTGATAGTCGTGGGCTAAGTACAAAATGCAGTCGCGACGAGGGGTCAAACCACTTTACATACTTTATTTTTTATGTTTACAAATTTACTTTTACAAAACAGACCAATAGTGATAGGATTCGAACACAAAATTACATCCTGGTAAATGCGATTCGGATGTCCTAACCACTCGGCCACCGCGGTAACGTTCAGTACTGTATGCTTATAAAAAATGTTTTTTTTTAAACGTAAATCAGCTGAATTATGAATCAACGTCGATGTTACTTACCAGGAAATTTTAAATCTAGGAGAGTAGTGTATCAGGGTTGTCAGCTTTTTTTTTCCCCATCCACCTCCCCGCCGTACCTAAGGGAGACCCCATACCGGCGGACCACGGCCACTAAACTATTGGGTTGTCCGGAAAATAATGCAGGATTTTAAGTTTTCATTAAAAAAAATCTATATAAAATATTCTGTTTACGTTTACAGGATTACTCATTTGTATGAATGTCAACACTTATTAATCCTCTTCCAAATGATATTGTTTGTTTACCTCTGTAGCATTCCGCTACTTG